TATATTTACTAATTTGAGGATATAGAACACGAATCTGTCGGCTATTTTTTCGTCCGGGTGGTCCTAGGCATTGTTATTAACAATTTAATTGTTTAAATCGCCATAACGCGTGATGTATGAGAGTTATCGAAAAAAGTTTCAAGCAAAAAAATATTTCATTCATAGAAATGAACATTTTTTGTTGTATAAATTTTTCTCCTAACTATCATAGATAAGAAGATATCGTGGCCGCCCTGACGCTACGCTTTTGCGCATTCCAGAGCATTTAGTGACGAACTCGAGCATGATGAGAAATGTTTCAAACAAAAAAAATTGTCATTAAATTTTACATGACAATTACTAATTTAAAAAAGTAATTATTATTAAAAGTAATTATTTTTAATTTTTTTTTTTGCATTTTTTTCGATTTCCAGTAGTTAATGAGATATTTACATTATTATTCTGGATGATGAGGTGTTCCAGTCATCATTCAATCGTAATTATCTCATTAACTAATACGAAAATAAGAAAATGTTTATAGACCTAATATATCCACTATTGAATGACAAACATTTTTTGTCAGAAAATTTTTGTCCTATCTCTATTCGTTCGAGAATTATCTTTCGAAGATGTCGGCGTTCGAGGCTTATTACTGGAAGATGTCGACGCGTGAGCCTGCGCACTGCAGCGATCATATAAACTTTCTATTTACCCAATAATTCAAGAGTGTAGACCACAAATGGAGTTCGTTGGGAGACGCCAAGCGGAGCGGTTCACTCGGTCGCTCCGTACTACAGGATATTCTAGCCCGAGTTGGGAACATATCCTGTTTCTTTAACATCTATTCCTTTTTTTCCATTTTCCTTTCTTCTTTTCCTTTCTGCTCCTTCTTTTCCTTCCTTCCTCTTCTTTTCCTTTCTTTTTGGCTCTCCGAGAATTAATAGTAGTCTTAAAGACTACCAACGAACTCCGCAGTATATAGAATCAGTGGAAATAAAATCGAAGATCAGATTTAAAGTGTGCTGAAAGTGGAAGTTCCGAATAAATTCTTTCAAGATTTCTATACTAGCCGTGGAATTATCTTTGAAGGAAATTTAATTTTGTAAATTCAGTTCGACTTTTTGCGGAATTGGAATTGGAGATTTGGTGAAAGAACAATATTTTGGATTTTAATTCTCGGGAAAGATCGATCGGAATTCATATAATGGACACAAAACATCGCGGATACCATTGAATAACATCTATTCTTACACTAAGGACACACGAATGTAAACATCAATCATCAAGGTTCTATCAAACCGAGTGAAAAATATTTGAAATGAAATATCCTGATTTCGGGATTTCCCGAAGCATTGGATAGATGGTGTTGTTTTGATCATGTTTCACCTGTGATGTTTTTTGAATTTGAAAGAGAAAAGATTTGAACGAGTATTGAGATTGCCCGAATAGTTATAGAGGCAGAAATTTATTGATTAATGAGTTACTACAATTGAATATTAATTCAGGAGACAATATGCAAGTTATATTTTTGAAAGATAATTTTAAGAAGTGAATCAAACAAGAAAAGAAAGAAGTTTTGAACTATTCGGTACTGCCCCCTGGGGGGTGTAACCATAACCATCAATTACTTGGAGGAGAAATGGTGCTTGCCTCTACTGCTGTTAGAGGATATAACCAATTACGAATAGAATAGAAGAAGAGTGTAGACCACGACGGAGGACGTACTCTGTTGGAAATCCTGTCAGCTGACAGGGCACTCACACATACACACGCGCGGCTCATCCATTCTCTCCCCACTCACGCACACCTGACGCGCTCACCTCAGATGACCGGGGGTTATTAATTCGGACACCTGAAGCGCCACGTCCTGGACAGCTCCTTATTACCATATGATCTATATTAAATTAGGTCATGTGACCATCGAATTAGGGCACGTGGCACCTGTAAGCCCGTGTCTCTCTCTCATTCGTTTCCGGGATCTAGTTAAAGACACTTCTTTTAGTATACTGCTCTTCTCTAGTGACTCGGGTTAACTCATTGTGTCAGCTCAATTAGTATTAATTCAAGCAATTAGTCGGCTCATTATTTTCGGTCCGCTCATTATTACGGTTTGCTCAGTGACTCAATATCTAGTGACTTATTTATTGTGAACATTTTTATTTTGACAAATACAGTGTTTTGTGGAACTCAAGTGCACGTGTCCGCTCATTTTTGAACCCGCTCATCGACTCCGGCAAATCCATCCTTTACTTGCCCATTCGCTCCTAATTACCACCGATCCAGGCATCTCATCAAACATACTCCATGCTGCCAAAAACAAACAACGATGCGACCGGTAGCCGCTGCGTGCCTGTGACGCGCGTATTCCTGCGACATTTCTGTCCAGGAGTCTTTCCATCGCAACTCAGTCACAAATCAAGCAATCGGGATGAATAAAAAACGATTTTGTTCATCATTCAATAATGGATATATTAGGTTTATAAACATTTTCTCATTGTCGTAAGAGTTAATGAGATAATTACGATTGAATGATGACTGGAACACTGATTTACCTCATCATCCAGAATAACAATGTAAATATCTCATTAACTACTGGAAATCGAAAAAAATGGCAAAAAAGTAATTCATGTAAAATTTAATGATAATTTTTTTTGGTTTGAAACATTTCTCCCTATCTTGCTCGAGTTCATCACTAAATGCTCTGGAGTGCGCAAAAGCGCAGCGTCACGGCTGCCACGGCGCCTGTTTCGTCCTCGCCCACGATATCTTCTTATCTATGATAGTTAGGAGAAAAATTTATATAACAAAAAATGTTCATTTCCATGAAAGAAATATTTTTTGTTTAAAACTTTGCGATAGCTCTCATAGATTGCGCTTTATGGCGATTTAAACAATCAAATTGTTAATAACAATGCCTAGGACCACCCAGATGGAAAAATAACCGACAGATTCGTATTCTACACCCTCGAATTAGTAAATACAAACCAAGTTTTTCCGGGGAACTCATTTTCGGGATAAAACCATAGCCACCGGATAGACTAACTAGTCCATACGCCCACCGTGATTTTATCCCGAAAATGAGGTCTACGGGAAAACTATGTTGATTTAGACTAATTCGGGGTCGTAGAACACGAATATCGCGGTTATTTTTCCGCGAGAGTTGCCTTTGCCATTGTTATAAACAATTTAATTGTTTAAGCGCTAATAGCTCTCAAGTTATGGGAGCAATGGAAAAAAAGTTCCTTCAAAATTTGTTTGTGTTCTCAAGACAAACAAAATTGTTTTATTTTTCTCGATAGCTTCATTTTTGGCAGAGATGATAAAAGACGTGCTCTTGGCTGGGAAAGTCATGCGAGCGGCTACGCTCGCGCTGCCCGGGCCGGCATTAGTGGTGTTATGTTGTTTGTTGTCGGCGACTGCACACACCTATTGCTGTTATGTTTTGATTCTATGAATCTATGTTGGAGCCCGAAAACTGACAGAACTTTATCCACCGATAAGTGATTTAGTCCCCAATTGCACTGATGCAAAATGTAAACGAGGAGTTTGCCATTGCGCAAGGGCAGAGAAACCTTGCATTGCATTTTGTAAATGTCAAATAAATGGAACATGTCAGTATCCTTTCAATGAATAAAAGGAAAATTGAAGAGGATCACTTCTTTGTATTCATTAAGGGTCCAACCATAAGACGTGTGCGCATTACACCTCGCGCGGCGCACGATTCCACGCGGCGCTCCTCAAACGTTTAATTAATCATAAATCCGCTAAAAATGAAGCTATTGAGAAAAATAAAAAAACATTTTATTCGTCTTGAGAAGACAAACAAATTTTGAAGGAACTTTTTTTCCGTAGCTCCCATAACTTGAGAGCTATTAGCGTTTAAACAATTAAATTGTTTATAACGATGGCAAAGGCAACTCGCACGGAAAAATAACCGAGATATTCGGATTCTACGACCCCGAATTAGTCTAAATCAACATAATTTTCCCGTAGACCTCATTTTCGTGATAAAACCACGGTGGGCGTATGCACTATACTGTAGCACGGTAAAATAGGTTCATTTCAACAGACCCGGAAAAAAATTTCTGCCGTGCGCTACAAAAATTTTTCTCGGATTTACCGTGAAAAATTCTTGTACTCCACAGCAAATTTTATGGCGCTGGCACGGTAATTTTTCCGGTCCGTCCAAACGAACCCATTTTATCGTGCTGGCACAGTAATTTTTCTAGAATTTTTTTCTCCATGTACTAATTAATTCAAAGAAAAAGAAAGAAATGACAAATTGTAGGTATAATTATCGAAAATTGGTGTCAATCAGTATTTTCACGTGATTTATGGAAAATTCCTCTTCATTCAGTCTTGTAACAGGTGAATTGAGCATATATAATAACAATAAGAATGAATAAATCGTATATTTCGTCATTGGGCCGAAAAAAACTTTTCTGCCGAATATGAGCCCTCACCTTCGGCTCGGGCTGCAATCATATGATCTAAAAAATATTTTTAGAGCGTATGACGAACAATATTTCTTCTCATAACGGCTGTAAGCAGCAATTCACGGAGGCTACGCTAACGCTGCCTTATGGCCAGAATGACAAAAATTAAATTAATGTATAATTGTGAAAACGGAAATGGAATGGAAATAAAATAAAACAGTATAAATTAATCTAGCGACGAGCGCGAAGTTCACACATAAAAAATGAACTTGTCACCTCCAAATTAATTAAATAACTTCATATTTATTTCTATCTTTCATTCACCACTAATCACAAATTTATGTTCAACACGATTTTGAAAATGTTCTCCATTCTCACAAAAACCTGAGATAAAATGAATCAAAATCACGATTTTCCTTCCTCATTAAACATTGAAGTATTTGCTGGAAGTCTTATCGCACCCAAAATGTGAAGATCTCAATTGTGGGTGGGAATATTAATCATTAATCATAAAAGAAGAATGAACAAGGCAGCAATATTATAAATAACGAGTAGATCGAGTCGCGTGAGTCTGTTGCGGATACGTCAAGTGCTGCGAGGGTTTCGCCGGGTGGAAGTTTCCCTTTCGTCAGGGTTTTTCGGACTACCAGTGGCAGTTGGAGGGGTTGAAGTAGTCTGGGACGAGGAAGGTTTTGGTTGGAGGTCATCGGAAAAATTTTGGTCCACCAGTTCCTCCAGTTTTTTGGATAACAGTTCAATCTTCTCAGTACAATCTTTATCATTCTGATGATAAAAGAAAAGTGCATCAACATTTATCATCTCTGAATTCCCTACCTTTTATTTAAAGATAAAATTATGGGGAATGAACAAAAGATATCTTAAAAGATTTTTTTCATTTTTTGTTCTGAAGACAAATTTGTAATCAACAAGAGTTCGAATTTTAGCATTCATATGCTCGATAAATGCATTACACAAACCTTGTGATAAGCTTTGGAATTATGCACAATCTTCCTGAAGTCTCGAATTACATGTTCCACTTTCCTGTAAACATGATTCTTCAATTTGTAACCAATTGTCTCCAGGAACATTGGACTCTTGATCACCTTTCGATAATCTTCAATCTGAAAAAATAAGAATAGTTTTATTTTTCTCAAAGCTGAATTACCTTCGCTTCTAATCTAATTACACGTATGAAAAATCTCATAGAAAAACTTGGCGATTATTGTTTTCGGTTAAATAGTCCCTATTGGGCCTTTTCTATTACGGGAAAAAAACAATAAGTTTTAAAAGTCGCAGGCGATTGGAGTGAGACTTCTCATACATTGAAGTTCGATTATATATGTCTAAAAATGAATAATTAGTGCAAAAAATGACTTCTTTACTGTTCATTTGCTCTGCACACGCTTAAAATGTTAAATGTTAAAAATAGTCTAGGGCCTCCAATTATTAAGCTAGAGAGGTTTCTTTTTTTCAAATTTTTTGAAAAAATGTGTGCCATAATAATTAAAAATTAGTTTTTTGAAATTCGACTGCTACACAACTAATTTCGTTTTGTTTAAAATAAAAATTTGAGCCAGTCATGTAATATACGCAAAAAAATTATCCTTAAAATATTTGAAATATATTCTCGATTCTTTCAAAAATATTTTTCGAGCTAGTTTACATGGATGGTGCAATTTTTTATTTTAAAAAATGAGGAAATTAGCTCTACAGCAGTTGAATTACAAAAAACTAATTCGTAATTGTTATTGTACACATTTTTTCAAAAATTTGGAAAGAAAGAAACCTTTGTAGCCCAAAAATTGGAGGCCCTGTACTATTTTAAACATTTTAAGCGTCTGCAGGGCAAGCGAACAATAAACAATCGATTTTTTTGCACTAATTATTCATTTTTAGACATATATAATTGATCTTCAAAGTATAAGAAGTCGCATGCCAATAGCCCGCGACTTTCAAAACTCATAGTCTCCCCTTAAAAAACGCGTAGTGAAGCTGCGGCATTCTTCAACAGTATTGACGAAAAGCTATTAGCTTTCCAATTAGAATTTTCAGTAAAAATTCAATAGCATTTTTGATTGAATTCGTTAAGTTTTTGTATTAAATTTTCTCGTGTGTGTAGTCACCTCAATCCTTACACTAAGATTGGAAGAGCCCTCAGCCTCCTTGGAGCTCCCCCCCGGGAACTTGAAGAGCCTGGTAGCATCCATTCTCCACAAGATCCTATAGATACCCAAAAGCTTCTCCAGGGCAGCTGCTCCCAACGAGTTACTCTGCTGTTTTTTCCTCGAGCTGTACCAAACAGACCAGCCCTTATCATTCGATTGTCCCTTACCCTTTCTCTGTTTCCCAGAAGCTACCTTGGACCCATTGTCTTCAGTTTCATCCTCAGCGACACTGCAAATAGGAGTTTCTTTAAGAGGCTGAACACTCCTGAGATACTTCTGTGACGACACCTTCGATGAAGTTGGCTTTGTCGTAGTTGAGAACCTCCTAACAGTCTCCGAGTAAGTAGCCTTCCCGACGGCATCGACAAGCGTCATTACAGCGATCGTATGACTCGTTTCGAGGGAGAAGGACCTCTCAGCGTCCCCTTGAGGCTTCCCCCAAGGAGTAACACTCTTGACGTCTCTCATCCGATTGACTCTCTGCTTATCATCCCTCGAGCAACTCGATGAACCGTCACTTTTAGCTGCATTATTCAACGTCTTGATCAACCAAGAGTCTGTCTTCACATTGGTTCTCTGTCCCTCCTTGCCAACTGCATTCGCATCCACGATCATCGGCTTGAAGGTGTCCCCCTCGTCCTCTTCAGAAGCTTCATAACTCGAGTCGAAATCCTCATGCTTCTTTTTATAGTCTCTGGATTTCTTCTTCACGTTCAGAGCATCTAGAAGGAGTTCAGCGGAGGCACAAGCAGCCTTCCAAGTCACGTCTCTCCGAACATCCTGAGAGCAGGTCGAAGATGACGATGAAGTACCATTGGAGAAGTTCCCTTTTTCGAAAGCGATCTCAGACTGTCCTTCGTCTGGTTTTCGATAGTCTTCGAAGAACGTTGCTGGTGGCTTGGGAACTTGTTCAGCCTGGGGACAACTCTTCTTGAATCCTATCGACTCGGTCTTACGGGAACGCCTGGACTGACCTTTTTTCTTGGGGACGTTGTAGCTCCCGGGCTTCATGTAGACTTTCGTGTCCTCAATGTTGTCATCTGGAGGTTTCTTCGTGGTGGTCTGGTCCTCCAGGATCTGGTTAGCAGTCCAGGGAGCACTCTGGATCGCTCTCATGTTCTTCAGTGTCCTCAGTTGACGATTGGCATCCATCTTCGATGTTCCCACGGCGTCGAAAGCACGTTTTAGGGGGTCGCGGAGGTTCAGAGACGTCTTGGTTCCCCAGAAGTTCTGAGATCCTGGTGACGGTGAGTCGTCCCTGCTTTTCATGCTTGCAAACCAAGCGGAGAGGTTGATCGTTTCACCATCGGAGGAGTTATCAACTTTCTTGGATTCTATTTGACTGACTAATGTCACGTTTGAAGGATTGGGATAGAGAAGGTTCGAGTAGGATGGGGCTGAGGAGATGCAGGGGCTCCAGATGCTCAACGTTGTCTCGATATTCGTAGTTTCAGGTTGAGGGATCATCAGGTTGGAGAGCTGTTGGGCTGGAAATGTCTGCAGGTCCTTTACGTTTCGAGAATTCTCGGTGATCGTCCATTTGGTTCTGACTTTGCTCTCTCTTGCGACTGACAACCATCTTGGCTTCTGGTCGCACGTTTGGATCGGGTAGGAGACGTTGCGGTTGGTCTTGAGAACTTGGGAGGCTGTGACAGGGCCTGGGGAGTTGCTGAAGAGATTGTAGTTAACATAGAGCGAGACGTCTCCCGGGAAAGATGACGTGTGAGAAGAATTCTCTTGGAGGGGCTCGTCGGAGCTACCGTCCAGCTTCTTGAAGTTCTTGGTTATATTGTCGAGGAGGGTCGAGGTCGCTGACTCCCAGGCTTTGAAGGACTTCTGGAGATCCTTGTCGAATTTCTGGGAGAGGGAGAGGTTGGGTTGTTTATTGAGATAGTTGTCCAGGGCCAGCCAACCGTTACTGATCCGCAGGAATGAGTTCATGAGGTCTTGACCGAACGCTTTGTCGTTGAGGTAAATCGGGAAACAGGTGGAGGACTTGGAGAGGGCGATTTTAGTCGCCGAGGAGAGACTCAAGAGCCAGTTCCTGCGGTAGGTAGTATTGGAGGTCGTGAGGAGGTTCTCCATCTCGGCGCAACCAGTGTAAATCGTTCTCCGGAGGACTTCGGGGGACTGCAGGTCTTCCGGGTGGGAGGTCTGGGTCTCCACGGTCTTTGAGTTCTTGGGGTAGTCGTCGATGTACCAGGACTTGTAGGCCTTGGAGATACCTTCTGGTTTCAAGGAGAGGGGGATTTTCTGGGGGTCGTCGTCTTTTTCTAGGTCGAGGGAGGTACTGCAGAGGGCTGAGACCATCTTCTCGGCTTCAATGGTGAAGTCGAAGGTTGATGAGTCGTCGAAGTACTTGTCGAGTTTGTTGGTCTTGGAAGGGGTGAAGGAAGGGGTCGAGGGCTTGGAGTCTTCGGGCATCTGAGGAAAGAGGTTCGATGTTTTTAAAGGATGGTCAAGGGTTCATGGGACCACACACGAACAAATTTCGTAGTAAAACCTAGCGAATTTACTATTCAGGGTGTCCACCTGGAAGTTTCAACAAAATTCCCTGACTTTTCCCAGGCAAATTGACGCAATTCCCTAACCATAGAAAATGATTTTTTTTTTTATGAAAGAATGTTAAATTTATAGACTCCCCTCGTGGAAATCCGTCGACAGATTCGGCAAAATAATGGCAAAAAATGTCAAAAAATGAGAAATATTCGGAATTTTAACGTAAAATGACAGAATTTGATTTAAAATGACAAATTTTGTCCGATTTTTTTCACATATTTTCCCAAAAAATGTCATATTATTTCAAGTCGATAAAATGTAATAAAACGTCAGAATATGACAACCAATGTAGTAATATGATAAAAAATGTTATGATATATGAAATTATGTCCGATTTTTAATGTCGCAATTTGTCATATAATGACATTATCTGATATGGACCTGTGCTCAAAATATCCTTGAAAAATGTCAAAATATGATATCTGTCAAATAATGACATTATGAAACATCTGATGTCATATTTTGTCAGATTCTGCACGGAGAGAAAAATACACCATAATTCCGTGAAAGTCCCTTCAAAAATTAGTGTGCTACTCACTAATGCTGGGACATAACAGGGGGTCATCAGAAAATTCGTATGTGGCACCCTAAGTTTTACGGGCATCGCGCGAAGTAGTGGCGCAAGTCCCTCTAAAAATTGGGGTGCCACATTCGAATTTTTCGATGACCCCCTGTTATGTCCCAGCATTGATGATGAGTAGCACACTAATTTTTGAAACATTTTTTTCTCAGTGTGTCAGATACAATATGTCAGATTTTGTCATATTATGACATTCTCTGACAAGCACCTGTGCTAAGAATAACCACTAAAAATGTAAAAATATGACAAAATATGATATTATAAAACATCTGATGACATATTTTGACAGATTCTGTCAAACTTAATATCTCATAATCTGTCATACAACGACATTTTCTGACAATTGTGTAGGCTAGGAGTATTCTCAGAAAATGGGAAAATATGTCTAATGATGACATAATAAAACATTTTATGCCATATTTTCACAGATTTTGTCAGGGATGTTTAAATGACATAAAATGGAGAATTCTGAAAATTGCGTTATTTAACAAATTCTGACATTATTTGACAAATAACAAGATATAACTTTAAAATTTGACATTTGCTGATTAAATATCGGAAAGGGTCATAAACTGGCAAATTATGACATATTCTGTAAAAAAATACAATTACGGACTTGAAGTTTTCAGGATTTTGAAATTACGATACTTTCTTTTGATTCAAAATGTTAATTAATTAATCAATGATTAAGTGGACGATGGAGCAATACAGAATATGGGAAAGGGAGAGGGGAGTTGTAGATCGGAGGGGGGGGGGTGGAAACTAGAATTTGGGGCAAAATGGCATGCCCATACATATCCATGTGCCTCCTTTTGAATAGAACTCGCTATCCCGTTTTACCCTACTGTGAAACAATGTATCTCGATATATCATTATACTCCACTGTCTGATTTACCCTACTATGCCATTTTGCCACACTGTTCAATTTACCGCGATATTTCGTTTTACCCCACTATCTAATCTACCTGTCTCGCGATTCGCCTCATTCTATTTTACCTCACTGTCCCTTCCACCATGTTTCCTCTTATCTTCCCCTCTCCCCCTTTGACCTCTACTATCCCGTACTACCCCTTGTTCTCCTCTTATCATTCCTATCCCATGAATTGCCTATATAAACCCCAAAAATATTAGTCTTATCAGCAGCAACCACACTGCCTACAGGACTTCCGGATATCCAGCGATCATCGAAGCTAATAAGTTGCGCTTGTTTTTTATACTATACACACACTTATTTTTTTCTTTTTTTTTCTCACACTTTTTCTTTTTTTTCAAGCACATAAAAACAAAAATAAAAAAGCTCTACAACAGAGCAAAGGTTTAAGACCTTATAATAATAATAAATCTATAAAAAAGCCCAATAAAAAATTGAACACGAGTGTCACAGAGTGACCAATGTTAGGGATAACGGCCACCCATCCAGTTACTGACCCGGCTCGATGATGCTTAGCTTCGATGATTTTTTTTAACTATGTTTTTTATTCATTTTCTACAGTAGGTATTTACAATATTTACAGCTATTTACATAAAAAAACAGGTACATAAAAAAAATTAAATTTAGTATCTGGTGTTCGATAAACATTGGTCACTCTGTGACACTCGTGTTCAATTTTTTATTGGGCTTTTTTATAGGTTTATTATTATTAGAAGGTTTTAAACCTTTGCTCTGTTGTAGAGCTTGTTTATTTTTGTTTTTATGCGCTTGAAAAAAAAAGAAAAAGTGTGAGAAAAAAAAGAAAAAAATAAGTGTGTATAGTATAAAAAACAAGCGCAACTTATTAGGTTCGGTGATCCGGAAGTCCTGTAGACAAAAAACAGGTTGCTGGTTGTGTCGGTGGGAACCCCGAAAGAACCGTTCAACCGAAGTTCTTTCTTTTTTTAATATATATTGATGGGTTGATGAATTCGAGACATTAATGTATTTAATTATACCCTACCGATAAAATTGGGGGAGTTATTAACGTAGGTTGTAACAATTCATCAAATTTTATTTAAAAAAACACTATTCTGACATTTTATGGCAATAAATGTCATTGAATGTCAAAAAAGGCGAGAAGGAACTCCCAGGGCAGTCGACATATTATGACAAATTCTGTGAAAATTCATCAAACTATGACAGATCTTTCTGAGAAATTATGACATTATATGATCTACCTGTTCCAAACCGCGGTCATTTATTGTCAATTTCTGACCAGAAATGTCGAATTCGGCATATTATGACAGATTCTGACACAGTATGACATTCTGACAAATTTTCTACGAAAAAATTTGTCAAAATTGACAGATTTTGATATTTTCTATCCAAATTTGTCAGAATCTGTAGACCCGATTTCCACGAGAGTCGAAGGTGAAAATCCTAGTAGGACGCTTTAGTGGGGACACCGGCATTCCGTTTTGAAGGCCATAGAGTGGGGATATTGAAATTCACCTTAGAGGGTTAAAACAGTTGATAAACGAGGATCACCTGATCATGTTGATAATCAATGAACAATAGATGGATCCATGCACATTAACTCCTTTACCGAACGAAATTGAAAGGCAGACGTCGGTAAAATAAAATTATCTTTGATTCGCGAAAAGACCCATCAAGTGAATTTTCGTCTTCATTTCCTATTTTCAACTTCAAAATTTTTCTTGGATCGTAATTTTCATCTAATTCAGATTTTTTTTTCAATGTTCGTCAGACTTCAAAGAATAAAATTGCGTATTTGTTTTCCATTGCGTGGAATAGATTGAGAAAAAATGAATCTTCTAGATTTAGTCTGTCTACTCCACTCGATTTTTTAGACATTATTATGCAAGAACAAAAAAAAAGGCATTGAAAGAAACATTTTTTTCATTAGATATTATCCATAATTTATGACGTAAAATAGGTACTGAATTTCATTTTCTAGAGTGTAACGAAAATTGCGGAATATAAAAATCTACATCAGATGGAAATTGCGCAATAAAGGAAGTATGGCTAAGGGAATTTTCAAAGACTTATCAATTTTAGCGAGGTCTCCCCTTAAGAGATTATCACTCTTTCAACTTTTCAACAAAAATACGTACAGCGAAAAATTTGTCTAGAAAATTAGGATGCTATCTCTCTAGCGGACCAGGTTGGAACTTTCAGTGTTTTTGGAGTATATTGCTGAAAATCTTTATTTTTCAAATATTTCCACCATCTTAATATGCAAGAATTCCTTTGAATAGTAGAATGCTGAATTTAGAATTTTCCATAGAAAAACCTCAAAAACAGTGCGTTCCCAATCTCATCCCACGGGAAGATGTTAACATCCCACTTTTCTAAGTAAATTTGAAATCAAATTCTAGGACAATGTTTTTTGTCAATAGAAGAATTTCCAGAAATTTAGGTAATTGGAGAAAACAAGCTTCAAATTTTAAAATTCCGGAAAGTTGTCGTAATTTCATGACATTTCCAGACCAATAAAATTCCCTGGCAATTCCCGGTTTTTCAGATTTCCCGGACGTCTGGACACCCTGCTATTGAACAATTCCGCAGTTTTATTCCGCATTTTTTAAATCGCAAATGTTCAATAGAAACTATTCTATAGAAAAAATCCGTAAAACTTCATCTTCCTATACCAATTTTTTTATTGATTTTTTCCATATAATATTTTCCTTTAAACATTTTTATTGGAAAAATAGCGAAATTCTTCAATAGTTTAATAGAAATCCAATGGAATTTTTGAGCGAATTAACTAGATTTCTCTATGAAATTTTTTTGTATGTGAATCAACGGAATGTTTAGTTACCTCAAAAATTGGTTCATTTAAGCTCAACCGATTTTCACATGTCAATGAACCTCTCTCAGGGTACAAAAGCTCGGAATGTTGGAATTTCGTTGTAGAGACTGGGCCCATTTTGTCGTTAGAATAATTAATAAAGTTGGGAGTCGATTGTGCATGAGTGGAAACACTTGCTATGCTACTGGAAAAACTGGTGGAAGTGTTTCCATAATTTCTGTTAGTGGTGTAAGTCGTCGGGACAGTATAATAGGGTGCCTGCTGGACTTGCTGAACACCTTGAAGAGACAATTGAGCCTGGGCTGGAGATCGATCGTGGATGAGACAGAATTGCTGCGACTCGGGGGGTTTGTAGTACGTCTGGGGTATCACAGTTGGATTGTAAGTGGAAAAGGTATCGGTGGGGCAAGGCTGACTGTAACAGGTGGGCGTTTGTAGGTAGACGGAGTTCAAGGATGGTAGTGGAGGAGTCAGGTGACTCTGGAGGGGATCGTAGAGGACCACTGGCGCAGGAAAGGGGATCGGTTGTTGGAGGGCCACTTGCGGGTATTCCTTATAACGGGGACGGGATTTCTGGTGCCATTTCGGGGATTTTATTCCTCTGAAGTCTAGAATAATTAAAGATTTTTTCCCATTTTAGTGATTTTTTCAAAGTTATTTGAAAAATATTTGGAACATAAGGGAAATCATAAATGCAGAAAATTTACGGCGAAAAAATTTTCTTCCGTTTGTTTAAATCTTTTTTGCTTGAAGATATTTGTAAAATAGCCTACAAAGAAATTAAATATCTTTGGTGATTTTGCACACATTATTTTGTAAATACTTCTTAAACTACGAAATTTAGCCGAGAATGTCAGCTATTTTCTATAATTCGTAAAATTCACCACAGAAAATCCTTTTTGCATTATTTTCAAATCTCTACCTTTCGAAAATATTTGTAGAATAATCTGCACAAAAAAAAGTTTCTAATGTTTTTGCCTCTTAGAATGTCCATAGACAACTTTTGTAGCCCATAAAATTCTTTACAAAAAGTTTTTCTGACCTTTAACTGTAATTTTTTTTTCAGTGAAATTGACAAAATAATTTGCACTTAAATAATTGATGATTGAGGGGTTAATGAATTAAAAAATTCAAACCTTGGGATCTTAAACTGTAGTGTGAATTATTAGTGACTGGATGTCTTCGCACATCAGGAAATGTCGATTGAACTTGGGGAACTCCACAGTATGCATTGTATGAGGTGTACACCAGCGGTTGCTGGGGCAAAATCACTGATGGAGTTGATGACGGGGTCTGGTAAATTGCTGGCGTTATTCCTGGGGGTTCTAGGGGGGATCGACACGTCGATTCCACTGGAATCCCAGGGTAAACCATCACTGAATTCATTCACAAAAAATGGAGATTTTTGTTGGCGTTATTTTATTGACAGATTGAGTTAACCTGAAATCAGTGGACTTTCTACTTTTACCTGGATTTTGGGGCTCAATTTCTCGGGAGAAATTTCTGCTGATTCTCCAAATAAATTCATGATTTTATTTTATCGGCGATCAGGGGATCAATTGGAAAATTGAATCGAATGGTGGACGGACGTGAGAAATGTTGGGTTAGATGGGATGAAATTCCTCTCTTTTGGATTTTTTTCGGGGGTCTTTCACGATTTGTAAGTACTCTTCGGTAATGTCAGAAAGTGGTGAGGACCCAGAGAGTTATAAGACTGGGGTAGCTGGCAAGGGAAAAATATAAAAATTGAGATTTGCGTGAAATGCGCTGTTGCTACTGCGATAACAACGATGAAGCGTTTTTTAGATTGAAAACATTTGAACATTCGAAAGACTTTTTTTGAAATTCGTAGTTGCCAGAAAAATTGTGAATCCCACTCATATTTTCTCAGTCCTCATAACTGAAAAAATCGTAAGAAATGATATCTAAAAAAACGAAAAATTGAATGGTCGTAATCTGTTCAAATAGGTAATGATATGTGCAAAAATATCATTAAATAAATAACGAAAATATTTCTAATTTTACCCAACTTTTTATATTTTTACCATCATTTTATAACATACTCCAGTTCAATTAAATTATCATTGTATTTGCTTTAATTCAAACTCTACACACAGAACATTTCACTTTTCTTTTAACTTTAAATTTAATTTTCATTTTTATTTTCTTAATGGAATAAAATTGTGAACAGTGCCGAGCAGATTTACGACGCCCGAGAAGAAATGTTCTCCTTATTGTTACCCTTAGTGAATATTATAAATGATTCACTTGGGTGAATGATTGAGAAATTGAGTTAGGAAAATTAAATGTAAAAAAAACTCATCACTCCATTTTACTCGTGGTGAATTTATTTTGACGTACGGGTTTAATATTTCAATGAAACTATTGGAGAATTATCTTCCCAAGGGGCCGCTTTTCAAGGCAGTGTGAGGAAATACACGAGGCGACTGGTGATGCAAATCACATCCCATGCACGGGAATTGGCCCATTTTATTAATTAATTTATAATTAACTTAATATTATCAATATTTAATAATTTAATACGACTCTCTATCCTCTTTTCATCATGTTCACAATCTCAAAACTGTATTATCGGTGATTACGATTCATTCTTCTCCTTCCCATTGTCGAATCCAGGATTGTGCAATTTTGTCATTTGACAGCAATTGAAATAAACGTAAAATTAATTCAAGTGGAACGAGAAGTTGACAGTTGTGCTTTATATTCAATTATGTCGAACGGTTTTAGGGCCACTTATAGTTTCCGTCCTCGTATGCAGCGTGATTACCTATTTTCATCGATTATTCTTCGTAATGAGAGATTCCACAGCACAAAGAATCGGAATTTTTCCGATCACATTCTATCGTCCACACGTTCATTTTTTCCTAGATAATTGAATTTTTCTTCACAAGATTATTTCTCATTCCCGTCTACTCCTTATCACATTATTCGTAGTATTTTTCAGAATTATTTATAACTCTTTTGTTACTAAAAAAGGAAAAAATTGTTTGTTTTTTGGTATTTGTGAATGAGGAGATGCATCGCATCGCCGATTAAAAACGCAACAAACAACGTCAACATTATCTTTTGATTTGCCCTCCAAATGACAATCATCATCGTTAAATGAATTCCCATTATTATCACCATCACTCGGTTCCCACGATACTCCTCTCTCATTTTTTATCATTTATATTTTTAACGTTTTTCATCTGCAATTGTTTTTTCTTTAATCTAGAGAATTTAATTACCGAGGAAGGAACGGTAGGCTGTACCGATAACACAGAGGAACATCAGGACGAAGTGCGCTGATTTATTCAGAATTGTTGTTGCTCCGTTGCACTTGTCAGTGAGGCATGAGCACACTTCTTGTCGACCACCGAAACCACCGCGCTGGTAGCAACGGCCTTTGTAGTTTGACTCGTCGTAACCGCAGGTTCGAATTACTCGAGTTTCTGGTACAACTGGAAATTATAATATAGATGATGGATAACAACTCGTCTAACTGGATTCTTATACTTACGAAAAAATGTCATAGAACAATCTAGCGGACTCACCGGAAAAATCTATAGGATTTCTATTGAATTTTCTATCACCTTTGGACAGATTCTGCCCTTTTTTTTTAATGGAAAGTTTTTTATATAAAAAAAAAATCAATGAAATTTGATTTTTCCATACAACTTATTCTATTGAAATATTTTCTACAAAAATTCCTCAGCTGGTATTTTCCAAGTTTTTTTGGTTTTATTTTTTCAATGAAAAGAGGATAAAAATATTAACAAATAGAAAATTAATGTAAAAGGATGAAATTCTACTGATTTTTTACATAATATAATTTCAATTGGGCATTTTCTATTAAAAAACGCGCAGTACAGCGGCAGAATTCCTCAATAGAATTAAGAGTTCAATAGAATTATTAATTTTAATAGAACAATTAATGATAAGTGTTATATAAAAAAATTTGGTTTGTTGAAATATTTTCTACAGAAACTCCTCGGCTTAATAGCTTTTACGATTTTTCGTGTTGTGATTTTTTTCAATGAAAAAAAAGTAAACATGGATGAAAAAAAAAAAAATTATGTAGAGGAATTTCTAGAAAATGGTTCAATAAAAAATTGGCCGTGGCTATTCGCAACGGGCGTGTGACACGCCGGCGTGAAACACGCCGGCGTGTTTCACGCCCGGTGCGTTTATGAATTTTCTTCTCTGGCGTGTTTCAGGCCCGGTGAGGAAAACTCTCTGGCGTGTTTCACGCCGACTAAAACTCTCTGCGGTGTTCCACGCCGAGTGAAAAATATTCGTTGGCGTGTTGTACGCAGAGTCAAATCTTCTTTGGCGTGTTACACGCCGAGTCAAAAATATTCTTTGGCGTGTTGCACGCCGAGTCAAAAATATTCTTTGGCGTGTTGCACGCCGAGTCAAAAATATTCTTTGGCGTGTCGCACGCCGAGTCAAAAATATTCTTTGACGTGTTGCACGCCGAAACAAAAATATTCTTTGGCGTGTTGCACGCCGAGTCAAAAATATTCTTTAGCGTGTTTCACGCCGAGTGAAATACTCTTTTGACATATGGCTAAAAACAACTTTTCTGCCTTCTGTATTGCGAAACTCACAGTCTCCAGAAATAGTATATTTCAATACAAGTGCAGAAAAGTGTTTTTTTTGCTCGTTGGAGGTTTATAGCACGAGCTGAAGGCGAGTGATCTAATACCACGAGTATCGATATTTTTCATCACAGTGTATTGTGACGAGGCATATTCATTTATTTTTTATTATTTTTCTACATATTTTTTCCCACTACACATTGCCCCCTAAAAGGTAAATCCCGCCACCGTTGGATACCCCTTCCCCAGACTTTTTCCCTCATCGCCCGTCTACCCCCGCCCCTGGACATCACGAAGATATCAGCCGAAGGAAGACATCAGTTCCGACTCGGTCAATTGGAGAAGCCATCGCCTCCTAGAAATTCCCCATACTGGACCCCCGAATATTCACCACCTGCAATAATCCCTTGCGAGACATCCCTGGATTGTGGTCATCGTCACCACTCACCCGTGCTGATTGGCCCCGATTGCTCCTGAATTAAAACCCGAAGGACTTCGACATCTGACGAACCCCCACAAATCGCGGAGGAAAAGGAAAGACCGTCACTCGTGCATTAGCTGCCCCGTGAGTCGCCACGTGCCCCGAAAGTAGTAATAGTGAATACAGTAAAATTCGCCCGGAAGTTATTTGGCGGATAAAAAGAGGACTTTTGATACATCGAGCTCATCCCAGCTCTAGTATTGGTGCCCAGGAAATCCCGAGGTGGAAAGGAGGCTCTCCAGGAAAACGCCCTGGTATTTTGAAGGAATGCAAGACGCCGGTGGAATTCCACGTGTTCGCCAGAGTGAAGTCCCTTCGTGAGTACGAGTTACCCCCCTCATTTTCCCTCTTGTCCCTACAATATTACCCTTCATACCCCCAACGGTGAGCCTACACTCTTTTGTTTCTTCCCCATTCAGTTATTATTTTTATATTTAGTTGCATTCCTTCGACACGACTAGCATCTCCCCTTTTTTCTGCATTAGAGTCACTCCCTTTGCACGTGTACAAAAGTTGCCTGGCCTCCCTCACTCCCTAGATCTCATTAAAGGCCTTATTTACGTCTTTTGACGATCAGAATTGTATTTAGAGAAAATATAGGTAATTATTCTCAAATTATCCNATATAGCATATTTCGATACAATTGCAGAAAAGTGTTTTTTTTGCTCGTAGGAGGTTTATAGCACGAGCTGAAGGGGAGTGATCTAATACCACGAGTATCGATATTTTTCATCACACAGTATGGAAGCGTGCCTACAAAGTTACTTTTTCGCACATCGTGATGAGAAATGTCGAAATGTACCCTCTGGAATGTTTCACGCCCACTAAAATTCTCTCTGGCGTGTTTCACGCACACTGAAGAAATGCTGTTTCACGTGTTTCACGCATGTTGAGAATAAAGGAGAGTATTTATTGCAACGCGATGCAAACGAATGATGCGTAATAAATGTAAATATCAAGGGTGAAGTGTCAAGGATAAAGGGTCAAGGGTGAAATATCAAGTCACCCTTGATATTTCACCCATGAGGGGCCGTTTTTCTACACTAATATCCTCTCTGGCGTGTTTCACGCCCACTAAAACATTTCCTGGCGTGTTTCACGCACACTGAAGAAATACGCTTTCGCGTGTTTTCAAGCATGCTGAGAATAAAGGAGAGTATTTATTGCAATGCAAACGAATAATGCGAAATGAATACAAATATATTGAAATTAGAGGAGGGTGGGACAAAATGGACTGCGGGGCAAAATGGACCACTAATTTTTTTCTTTTTCAATTTTTTTTTAATGCTGAACCTTCATGGGTAAAATGTCAAGGGTGAAATATTATGGGTAATCGATAAATCGAAATTGACATTTTTTATTTTTGTACTTCTATCGCTCCTATTGATCGATTTGATATCTTGGGGCCCGCGAATGAATAATCAATCATTGGTTGATAACAAAACTCAAACACTAATGGCAAATTCACTTTTGAAAAATCGACGTCGGAACAGGCGACTTGATTTAGGTCGAAATGAATCTAAGGATCACTTTTTCGGCAATATCTCTAGAACTATTCGTCCGATTGCAACAGATAAAGTTGCAAGTGAAAGGTGGCTTCATTTCCCATCCATTGCACTACTCATGGAATTATTTTCACTGGGAATTAGTACAGTTATTGGTGTTTTTGTCAAAAACCTATTTTTGGCAAAAAGAAAATGGGTTTATGAGCTGTCAAATTGAGGAGGAATGAGTGCAGCTTTAATCTGAACCCTTGTTCATTGCCGTGGGATTAATAGTTCCCGGGATATTCAAGTTTGAGTGATTTTTTTTTAGATGAAAAGGATTGCCATTCCCATTTTTGTAAAAAAATTTAAATTGTCAAAGAAACACTGAAAAAATTAAATCCTGCACATATATTTGCTAACTGGATCGTGTTCAGATGATAATAAAACCAGGATATTGGTCAAAATTTACATTTACATTACAATAATGATTGATGGTTCCTGAGGTTAAATTTGATGCTCTGTACTAAAAATCAATTAACGATTATGAACGCGCGCTGTAGCGCACATCTTCACCCTAGTCATGGGTAAAACCTTGATGCTTGATTCTTGATATTTTACGCATGATAGTTCACCATTGAAAAAAAAATTTTAAAAATGGAAAAACAAAAAAAAATCAGTGGTCGATTTTGTTCTCGCGGTTCATTTTACCGCACAGTCCGTATTGACCCCCTTGGCCCATTTTGCCCCATCCTCCCCTGCCTTAGCAACGCGCGTTCCTATTTTTTGCCGCGTTGCTAAGCCAGACATAGTTATCAAACCCAATAACTTGTACGCCCCGAACTAATAACGCCCATCTATTGTAGACTCTCCTTTAGCCATGTTTCACGCCCGTTTAGGATAACTCTTGGGCGTATTTTACGCACAATCAAAGGAACTCATTCGACGCATCAAATGAAAAAAACAAAATTATTATTTTCTATTTAAATGAGGAATCTTGGTGTGTAAATAAATCGATTCAAGTGAGACAAAACATGACGCAGTGGTATTTCGTTTCTATTTATATCGCAAATTCGATCTATGCGATATTAAATATATCACATATATCTTTTACATGAACACGTTTATAAGAAAGACAAAGAATTCATTCAATTTCATCAATCAGATGAATTCAAGAAATTTTTTTAGATTCTAGAAAAAAAAAAGATTGAATTAATCAATAAAAATCTGATTAAATTAAGAAAAAATTGTAATAAATGCTGAAGGATAATATAGGAGAGGTCAAATGGACATTAGGGCTATCTTTTCCTCTAAATCAAAAAAAAAACAATAGTTTGAACAATTTTATATTTATTTATATGATTTATGAAATAAACGCATAGAGATTAAATTAGTAGCATATAAATTATATAAACTTATGAATAGTATTTAAGTGAAAACCAATTGGTTTCCAGCAGCTCAACTGAAAGTTTGCTTTGACAAAAAAACTATTAAATATTTCCGGGACAAAAACAGACGCCTTCAGATATTAGTTGACTTCGTTGGGTGTCAAGAAACGTTCAACCACTAGTTTACAACTATAAGCCCAACTGAATGCCTTTTTATCGTACTCTATTATCTTCAGATTCATAGGAAAAAAAAAAGATGGAGCATAAGAAATATACTCAATTAATGAATGAGAAAATTTATAGAATTTCCTCTTGTGGAAGGCAAGTGCAGGTTCGACTGGAAAATCTCCAGTTCCCAAACTTATGGAGATTTCTCCATAATACACGTAATAGATAAGCTCTCTCTTGACTGTCTTGATTTCTACCAAATAAAACTCCCTCTCCGTTTACTCAAATGTTGAACGACCAAGAACGGCAAAAATAATCACATGTTTGTACACTTGTTAC